ATAATTTCCGACAGGGGGGTGCAGTTCACAGCGAAGTTTTGGAGAAGTTTCCTTACATTAATTGGATCATCTCAAGGTTTATCATCTGCTTTTCATCCAGCCACCAATGGGGCCGCAGAAGCCGCTAACAAAATGGTGGAGCAATATCTTAGATGCTACGTTTCTTACCAACAGACGAACTGGACTGATCTCCTCCCTTTTGCGGAGGTGGCATACAATAATTCTGTGCACAGCAGCACCGGCTACACGCCTTTCAGAGTGGCCACAGGAAAAGAGTTCAGCCCAATACCTGAATATCCTCAGTTACCCTCCGCTTCCCAGACACTTGACCAGTGGGTGAGGGGGTGGGAAGAAGTTTGGAGAAACACAAAAACTGCTTTAAAAAGACTTTTGAAACCTATAAAAAGCAGGCTGATAAAAAGAGGGCTCCCCAAAGAACATTCCAAGTTGGGGAAAAGGTTTATTTGTAAACTAAATATCTACGCCTCAAATTGCCCAGCAAGAAATTGGGACCAAAATTCTTGGGGCCTTTCCCCATAGTAAGGATCATCAATCCGGTCACCATAGAACTAAAACTCCCTAGACTTTTAGGGAGAATTCACCCAGTCTTCCATTGCAGCTTGTTGAAACCTTATCGGGGCTCCACTCTAAGACCTCCCCCGAAGAAGGAACCTGGGCCCCTCATAGTTGCGGGACAGACCCACTATGAAGTGAAACGTATTCTTGACTCTAGAATCTTTAAAGGGAAATTGCAGTACCTAGTACAATGGAAGGGATACCCGTTGTCTGAAGCCACCTGGGTGAAATCCATTGAGGTGAAAGCTGACAGTCTTGTCAAAAGGTTTCATGCGGAATACCCCAACAAACCAAAAACTAGTCATTAACATATGCTTTTGTTTACATAACAGGATCTGTCCTTTTTGTAAGGGGGGCCGGATGTCAACACTGCTAATATTGAATATTCTTGGTTTGACAAAATATGCAGAACTGTCTGGTATTTTTAGAGTTAATTCAGATGACAGAGAAAAGAAAGGAGAATAATAACAAAAGCCCAGGAAAAGGAACGGAAGTGAATCTTTGCCCTCTGGGCTAATTGGAAGATGTGACTTGTGACTGCAAGATAAGGGAGGGGTTTAGCAAGAAAAGTTAGATGCCAGCAAGAGGAATTCAGATTCTGGCATACCTCCATGATGTGCCATCAATTTGTAACACTGTTAATAAAGGCTTTAGGATAAACATGCCTGGAAGTTCTTTGAAGTGTTTCATTAGTCGGAACTATGACAATGTATATGTAATTCAATAACCTAGAAAATGAAATCCCAAACTATTTTTAGTCAGTTTTCCAGAAATTGTGGGGTCCTTGGTGCTCTCTGAGTTCTGTGGTTTTCTGGCAGATATTTCAAAATAAGTTACTCTCTTAAAATTGAGGGGGAAAGTACATGTAGTCCTCAATTTCCAACCTCAATTGAGAGTAGAATTCCTGTTGCAAAGCAAGGCAGTTGTTATGTGACTTGTGCCTAATTTTACAACTCTTTTTCCCACGGTTGTTAAATGAATCACCACTGTTATTAAGTGAATCATGTGGTCATTAAGCATATCTGGCTTCTCCCATTGACTCTGCTTGTCAGAAACCAGCTGGGAATGTTGCAAATGGCGATCACATGACCCTGGGATGCTGCACCCATCGTAAATACATGCCACTTGCCAAGCACCTGAATTTTGATCATGTGATTTTGGGGCTGCTTTGACGGTTGTAAGTGTGAGGACCGGTCATAATCCACTTTTTTCAGTGCCATTATAACTGAATGGTTGCTAAACAAATGGTTGTAAGTCGAGGCTACTTGTGTAGGAATAAAAATACTGATAGTCCTTGAATTATGACCAATTCAGCCCAAAAGTTTTGTTCCTAAGTGAGACATTAGTTGTGTTAATTTGCCCATTTCTTAATTTTGTTGGTTTTTCACCATTTTACAACCTTTCTTTCCACGACTGTCAAGTGAATTGGGGTAGTTGTTAATTTCGCCGTCAGAGGCCTTCTGGAAAGGCCTCTGCATCTGAGATTCGAGCTACAGATTGAATCTGTAGCTCGGTTCTCGGCTGCGGCAAAATGCAGGTCAGGGGACGCTGTGCGCATCAATCCGGAGCTCCATTCTCAGCTGCAGAGGCATTTCCTGAAGGCCTCAGATGGCGAAATGCAGGCCAGGGGGCACCACAGAAGTGGGCCGGCGATGCGAGGCAGGTGCCGATTCATGGGAGGCCTGGCTACAACAGTAGCGGGTGTGGGGTGCATGGGGCAGCTCCACCCCCACCCCAGCTTTTTAGGCATGCGCCTCGCCCCAAAACTAGGGCTTATTTTTGGGGAAGATCTTACTTTTGGGGAAACACGGTATACATATACACATGTATGTGTGTATATGTGTATGTATGTGTAGATATATATGTCTCTGTGTGTGTAATTTGCCCTTCCTCATGCACAGAATATAAAATGAGCTGAATGTGGAAATCACAGCTGCAGAAAGTTATGTCAATCTGTGCAAAAGATGGCACAGCTGTAATGAAGAACCTACTGATTTAAGTTGCGGAAATAGATCTATTTCCACAACTTAAATCAGTAGGTTCTTCATTACAGCTGTGCCATCTTTTGTACAGATTGACATAACTTTCTGCAGCTGTGATTTGTACATTCAGCTCATTTTATATTCTGTGCATGAGGAAGGGCAAATTATACGCACACACATATATCTACACACATACACATATTCATATACACACAGACATATACATGAATGTGTGTGTATATAAAATTTGCCCTTCCTCATGCACAGAATATAAAATGAGCTGATACACACACACACACACACACACAGAAAATGATGTCATCAAGACACAAAAGGTTGCCCTGGGGTGACAGTTTCAGCTCGTATGCACATATATATAGTCAGATATATTTAAACATGAGGTTGGCTGTATGAAAAGCAGCAGCGAGTAAGAGACATGGATCAAATAGAGGTCCGAGGAAAGGCAAAAAATGCAGTGTGATCTTTTCTAGTTGCATTTCACCATTAGCAAGGCTGAAATATTTTTATTTTTGTATAAAAGCTGTAATGCAGCCAGCTTGAATATTGAATCTTTTGGTGGGAAAATCATGGGTGTTCCGTTGCACCTTTGTAAAAAAAGAAAAAAAGGAAAACACTTATATTTGTCCCAGCAATTGCCATGCATCAACACAGAATCCAAGGGATTAAAACAAGTGTTTGTGTGTCTATGCGTACGACCCTCCCCTTTCCACAGAAAAGGATCGCCTGCCTGATCCTGCAGTGGAGTGTGTGTGAGAAAGAGAGAATGCCGCTGCCTGACAATGCAGCCACCTCCCCAGCGGCTTCACAGAAGCCCCGATCAAGGATTGCCTGCCCAATCCTGCAGTGTAGTGTTTGTGTTTGTGTGTGAGAGAGAATGCCACTGCCTGCCACCACAGCCCCCCCCCTCAGCATCTTCAGAGGCCCCAATCCTGGGCTGAGCGTCTGGCTGCTACTGCCACCCCGCCTGCCACTGCCACCAGCTCCATGGCTCGGTAGAGGCCCACCCCTTGGAGCCCTGATTGGCTGCTGGGAGGCGCGGCTGCTTGTCCCTTGGGGTGAATCATTGGACTACAATGATCCCTCTGCGAATCACCTGTGACAGGGGAGATGGAGGTAGAGGGCTGGGGGTCCATCGGCGTCAGAGAAACGCCGGCAGAGGTCCAGCTGAGTCTGAACGCTCACTGTCAATTGGTTGTGGCTGGAGGGCCAGGGTGAAGGGGGCATGAACATGTGCAGAGGTGAAAAGTCCTAGACCATACATGTCAAACTCGCGACGTCACGTGATGTCATGCAACGTATTGGAGCTTTTTCTCCATTGCTGGCAATGGGGTGGGCGCGGCTTCTGGGTGACGCGTCCAGCCCGCGGGCCGGCAGTTTGACACCCCTGTCCTAGACCAACAGGTTAATTCCATAGAGGCTGATGGAATATATGCCATGTTTTCCCAAAAGTTAGGCCTACCCCAAAAATAAGCCCTAGTTTTGGGGTGAGGCACACCTAAAAATCAAGCTAGGGTGGGGGTGTGGAGCTGCCCCACGCGCCGGGTACCCACTTATCTTGCAGACAGGCCTCTCCCCAGCAGCCCATCTCTTCTGCGGCATCTTCTGCAGCCAGTCCTGCATTTCTCAGTCACAGGCCTTTCTGGAAGGCCTCTGCAACTAAGAACTGAGCTATGGATTCAATCCATAGCTCGGTTCTGCAAGACCTCTGCAGCCGAGGACCGAGCTATGGATTGAATCCATAGCTCAGTACTCGGCTGCATAGGCCTTCCGGAAAGGCCTGACTGCAAAATGCAGGCCGGAATGCAGCTGCAGAATGCAGGTGCTCCTTCAGCCCCAGAAGAAGTGGACTGGCTGGGCGGGGCTGTTGGTGCCGGAGGTGAGTAAGACATCCCCCCAAAATAAGACCTGGTGCTTCTTTTGGAGGCAAAAAAAAGAGACCCTTAGTTTGACACATGGTAGCAGATCAAGAATTCAATTTGGAATATATTTTTCCTTTTGAATCATTAGACACACCTTTTCAATTAGATCATTCATCCATTGGTCGTCAAGAATGCAAGCCTTCATGCAACCCCATGTACAGATTACAGAACTGCTGTTCTGTACTTATAATGGGATATTTTGTGAAGCCTCACATCAAAATGGTTTGAGTTCTTGCACACCCTATCTGGGAATGGATTTCATATCAAGCCCCAGCAATGGCAGAATTTCTTGGGTATTAGCTGGACTTTACCAAATATAATTCTCATAGAAGCAAAGAATTGTTTGATTCGATTTCACTGAACCTGACTGCTAAATAATCTTGAAAACTTAGTCAATTTAGCTGTACTAAATGCTGAGTATTAGCTTTTGAAGTTTGACCTGGTCTGCTATGTAGTTAAAACACTGTTTATATGCTTAAATTGGCTAAAGTATATAATGCACTCTACACGCGAATAGTAAATTTATTTAAGCTGCAACACACATGGTTTTAATACACTTAAATCAGATGAAAAATACACTGAAGTATCAGCAGTAGAACATTTCCATTGGAAATGCGTTAAAATTCTTAAGCATTTCTTGTTACCATCTTACTGCAGTTTTCTTATGTGTTTCTAGTCTATACCCCACATCTTTTCTATAATCATGCAAAAGTAAATCAGATTTTGAATGGGAAGTCCATTTACTACAAAGAATCATATTTCACAGAGCCAACTTGGTAGAACAAAACGTGTAGAGTTCTTCAGGTAAGTACACATAATTCAGAAGCCATGAACTTTCAGTTGTTCCTCCTTAACAATGCCAACCTGCAGAAAATATACAAACATCAGTAAGGTCTTGGCAGTTAGGACCAGAAATGTGAACACAAAAATAAATCCACATACTAATCGAAGTACAATTGCTGAGCAGGGATGTAATGCCAGCTAAGACTGGTGCAAAATTATCTATAGCAGCAGTTTTCAGTTTACAAGTCAATCTAGAAAATTCTGCTATTAAGAAAACAAAAGTGTTGGAGTCAAGTTGGTTACACTTTTCCACTCAGCCCTATAATTCAGCTCTTTATCAATTTAGAGAGAATAGAGCTCACATTGTTGACCTGGAATCAAGGGAAAGCATAGGAAGCATAAATTGTGAGTATGTGCAGATAGCCCTGCTATCTTTGGGTACTTGCCGAGTCATGGGTGCAGAGTCATGGAAGGTCAGCAAGGAAAACACCCAATGTCCCAAGTCACCTGAGAACACGTAGTGTCTTTAGGGAAACACCCAAAAGGAACATTTTTAGCTACTTCTGCTTTCTCCTTTCTTATCTATGGTGAGCCAGCCTTTCTGGGTGAAGTCTTTATCTTATGTGTCCCAGCTTTGCTGGGTGGATTGCTTATGTAATAAAAAAGAATAAATACAAGGATTTCTTGTCATTCGGGGCTTCTCTGTTTTAGAGGGGCCCGTCTTTGTTCAGCTGAATAAAAACGTAAAGCTTAAAGGCAACTTCTGGTTTCCTGTATTTCTTTATCAAGCAACATCTCAGATCCTGTACAACATTTTTGGTGAGCCAGGCTTCCAGGAGAGGTGCTTGGTCCTAGGGAGGCTCAGGAACGGGAAGGCACCAAGCGCGCTCCGGGATTTTCTGGAGGTGCCCCCCTTCTTGACTCTTCACTGCGGTTTTTAAACAGGAACCAGTTTTCTATTTGGTTGCCTTCTACTTGGTTCCTGCATACTCAGGAGGGCTGAAGATAAGGTAAGACACACCATTATTTTATTGTACAGGCTTTCCTCTGTGTGTGTGTGTGTGTGTGTGTGTGTGTGTGTGTGTGTAAAGGTGTGCTTGCTTCCCTGAATCATATCCCACCGTTGACCAGAGCTGGGCAGAAGGGTTGGCTTTAGCCGCACCTAGACACCCCCCCAATGTTTGGGGGTGTTTAGAAAGCAAGGGGGGGCAACCTTATACTCTCGGGATCCAACGGGTTTTGAGTGTTGAACTGTGCAAGTGGTGTGAGTGACTTAGACACATGGGCTCAGCCCAAGGCAAGCCTGTTAGAATGAATAAAAAGAAGGAATCTGCCCTCAGCCCCCTTGAGTGTGTCATAAGGAACTTTGGTGAGCTTAAAACCCGTCGGGATATGAAAATTGAAACTCTAATTAAGTACAATGCCTTCTGGCACCAGGACATGCCCACTGTTTGGCCCACAGGGGGATCCATAGATTTAGGAGTTTTTGAAACCATGGGCAACTATGCTCAAAGAGGCATGGATAAGGATCAGCAAGCTTACTATGCACTTTTTTGGACCTTACAAAAGAATAAGCAGATGCTTAAAGACTGTGGATTGTGGCGACCTCCCGCAGCACCACCTTTTCCTGCTTTAGCTTCTGCTTCACCACCCTATAAGGGGATTTACCCCCTCACAGGGCAGGTAGCCATTGGAAGGGGGGACACTAATAAGGTCCTGGTTCATACCCATCTGACCTTTATGCATGGAAGGACCGAAGGTTTCTTATACTGAAACCCCACACGAATATTCTGAATTGGTTCTGTCCATTATTCGAACTCATAACACTAACTGGGCAGACCTCCAAGCCATGCTGGATGTCTTTTTAACAACAGAAGAAAGGCGTCTGGTAAACAATGCTGCTAAAAAGTTAGCTGAAGAAAGGGAGGTCCTTTGTTCCGAAACTGACCCTAAATGGGTCACTGATACTTATGACAGCAGAAACTATGGATATTTAAAAGGTTTCTGAGACATTATCATCACTGCATAGCAGACTGCCCTCCCTAAACAGAAAAAATTGGGCAAAATTTATGATGTTCATCAGTTGCCAGCTGAAAGCCCCCGTGACTTCCTTGAGCGCCTCTACCAAGCCTGGTGAACATGCTCTTTATTGGGCAGAGCGCCCCAGATATTAAGTGCAAATTACAGAAGCTGGAGGGGGCTTCAGCTGACAGTAGAAAAATTGTTGGAAGGAGCTTATAAAGCCTACATAAAACGACCAGAAGTGACAGCCAGGGGGGCTAAAAAGGATGAAAAACAGAGCAGTCTTGCTGGCTCAAGCTCTGCAATGGATGCCCCTAGTGGGAGGAGGAAGAAGTGGGACTCATGGAAGAGGATGGCGAGGAGCGGTAGGGCCCTCTCAGGAGAGAAATGGGACAATGTCACCCAGATTCCAGGCACCCCCAGACCACCCACTGCAGTCTTTTGCCCTAAGACAGGACCAGTGTTGTATATGTAAGAAATTTGGCCACTGGAGCAGGGAATGTCCTTTACGTTCCCTTCCTAACCATCCTATAGGGCGCTGTTCCACAACCGTGCTCCAGATATTAAGGGGGTGAGGGGCTGGGGGGCCTTTGTCTCACTGCCCTTATGGATGATTCTCCCTCTGCACCCCTGGTAAAGTTCAAACACGGAGGGAAAACAATACCCTTTTTGATTGATACAGGGGCATCACGTTCAGTATTAAATAAGCCCCTTGGAAACACTTCCTCACAAACGTTCCAGGTGGTTGAAGCCAGTGGCCAATCTATGTCAGCTGCTATACTCAACCCTTTGGAATGCTCTATGGGTGATACTCGCCTTATTCATCAATTTCTTTACCTTCCAGACTGCCCTATGCCCCTTTTAGGGCGTGATTAGCTTGCTAAGTTACAAGCAACCATCTTTGCTCTAATGGTTAAACCCTTGTATCAGGCCACCACAGGCTCAAATAACCCTTTGCATGGACCAAGAATTGCCAGGTGGCATTTGATAACATTAACTGTTCACCTTGTTTCTGTCAGAAAGCAAAGGGGTAGCTGCTGGAGTATTTACCTTGGTACTTGGTCTCGCCCAGTAGCCTATTTCTCCAAACAACTTGATCCTGTTGCTCAAGGATGGCCGGCATGCCTTTGGCTGCAGAGGCAGCTGTTCTCCTTTTGGAGGCTGCTGAACAATTAACTTTTGGTGCTCCTATCACAGTGGAAACACCTCATTCCATCCAGGACTTGTTAGCATCCAAGGGGGGCCATTGGCTTACAGCCTCCTGTCTGGAGCGGTATCAGATTGCACTCCTTGATAACCCACAAGTTTATATCAAGCGCAGTGGCAGGTTCAATCCAGCAACCTTTCTTCCCCAACTGGAACAGGATGGTGATCATGATTGTGTGCAAACTATTACCGATGTGTTTACTGGCCAGCCGGATTTAACTGACCAGCCGCTAGAGGACGCGGATAGGGACCTGTATACAGATAGCAGCAGTTTTATGAGACAGGGAGAAAGGCTAGCTGGCTATGCTGTGGTCACATTGGATCAGGTAGTGGAAGCAGCAGCTCTCCCTGCAGGTACCTCAGCTCAGAAAGCTGAACTCATTGCCTTGACGAGGCCCTTGGAATTGTCAGACGGTGCAGTTGTTAATATATTTACACAGTAAATTTGCTTTTAGTGTTATACATGTACATGGGGCCTTGTGGAAGGAGCGTGGTTTGCTCACGGCTGAAGGCACCCCTGTTAAATATGGACAGGACATTTTAAGGCTGCTGGATGCTGTTTTGCTCCGGCACAAGGTGGCTGTCATGCATGTGAGGGCCCATGGTAAGGATGATACTAAACATGGAAAGGGAAATGCCTTGGCCGACCGTACTGCAAAGTCTGCCGCTTCAGGTCCCCTGTCCCCTTGGTATGTTGGTGCGCTTGTACCTTCACATTTGCCTGTGCCGGCTCCAACGTATACTTCGCAGGATAGGCACAGAGCTTATAAACTGGATGCTGTTTATCATGGACGTTGGCTGGAAAAGGACGGGAAATACCTTCTCCCAGGACATGAATTATGGGCCCTCTTACGAAAATTGCATGCTAGCACTCATTGGGGTTACAAGGCCATAGCTGAATTTCTTATAAACGGCTATATTTGTCCTGAAATCTATGACAAGGCTCTCACTACAGTCAAGCAATGTGTGATTTGTCAAAGGAATAATCCTGTAAAGGCTATTAAGTTTCCCTTGGGTGGACTTAGGGCTGGACATGATCCTGCCAGTTTTTGGGCAGTTGATTTTGCTGAGTTGCCAGGGAACCAGGGTTTTAGATACTTGCTAATTTTTGTGGATGCTTTTTCTGGATGGATTGAGGCCTTTCCCTACCGTACTAACAAGGCACGTGAGGTGGTCAAGGCCCTCCTGAAGGAAATTATTCCATGTTTTTCCTTCCCATACCAAGGCATTGGCTCTGACGATGGACCCCACTTTATCTCTAACATTACCCAGCAGGTGTCTCAGGCCCTCGGTATTGATTGGCAGCTTCATTTGGCCTATAGGCCCCAATCTTTGGCATGTGTGCAGAAGGCCAATGGCATTCTTAAACGTCATCTTGCCACACTTGCCCAGGAAACACACCTCACTTGGGTTCAGGCGCTACCCCTCGCTCTTTTGCGTATAACAACTGCCCCTAAGCAGCTTCTTGGCCTGTCCCCCTTTGAGATCATGTACGGTCGGCCCTTTCTTTACCATTCCTCCTTATCCACTTCCCTCCCTGTTTTTGGAAACCAGGCCCTCAGGGAATATATGCACTCTCTTGCTAATAATGTTTCTTCCATTTCACAAGCTTTTCAGGCCCTCCATCATCCGGGATTGGATCATCCACTCCATCCTTTCCTTCCTGGTGATTGGGTACTTGTCCTGGACTGATTCTGGCCCTTTGGCTGAACGCTGGAAAGGCCCCTTTGTTGTTCTTCTCGCTACTCACACAGCGGTCAAGGTTGCTGGGCTTCGTACTTGGATTCATCACACCTGCCTTCGCTCTTCTTCACCACCACCTAACGCTGAGGACCACCAAGTTGCTTGGACTG